ATTGTTCTTGGATAGATCCAAATTTCTCAATGAAATCAGATTCCCAAATGACTCAGGTATATGACCATGTAACTGATTGTTCGACAATGTTAGATTTTCCAAATTCTGAAGTTGCCCAATGGTGCTTGGAATATCACCTGAAAACTGATTTCCTGATAAATCTAACATTCTTATGCTCGCAATGTTTCCAATTTCTGAAGCCAGTGGCCCATTCAGCAAATTATGAGCTAAACTCAAAATCTGAATAGCCTTGTTAGTCCAAGGTGTAGATGGGATAGTGGAAGTCAATGAATTGTAATCTAAATAAATTTCTTGTAAAGAGGTAAGATTTCCTAAACAAGTTGGTAGCTGTTGAGAAAGCCTATTATTCCTCAAATCTAGATAATATAGATTTTTCAATTTGCAAAGGGTGAAAGGTACCGACTCCCCTAGTTTATTAAAACCAAGTCTCAGCTTTTGCAATTTTCTTAATTGACCCAATGTGTCAGGGATTGTTCCTGTCAATTCATTGCCTCCAATGTCTAACCCGATCAAGCTGCTCATATTACCAATTTCATTAGGAATGATACCTTTAATACGACAATTTTCGGCGGTAAAAGATTCTACAGATGTTGACAAATTACCCAAGGATTTCGGTAATATTCCATGGAAAGAATTGAATCCCATCCTTATGATCTTCAAATTCCTACAATTTTTCAATGAAATAAGAAAATCTAATTCGGGCGTTGAAGGATCATTTGTCAACTCATTATGATCAATTTGTAGCTTCTGTAGGTTCTGTAAATTCCCAAGATTCGTGGGTACTCGTCCACTGAAGGAGTTGGAATAAAGTTCCAAGGTAGTAAGCTTAGAAAAATTTGAAACAGAGGCAGGAATATCTCCGCTCAATCGATTTTCACCAAGATAGAGAATTTCGAGATCGGGGAGCCCATTGGCAATTGATGATGGAAGATTGCCGGATATACTATTGGCAGTAAACTCAAGCCATTGTAACTTGGAGAGATTGAAGATGGATTCAGGTATTTGACCATTAAGACTACTATTGAACATAGCCAGAAACTTCAAATTTGATAAACTGCCAATTAAATGCGGAATTTCCCCTGCATTGTGGTGTTTGTCAACACAATCGAATTAATGAATACCAAAAGTTAATAAGTAGTAATAGGTAACTGTTAAGATATTT